AGAAAAGAAAATTGTATTTCTTAGTTCCAAGGTATATGTGTGAAGATTGTCAAAAAAAATCTCATAATTAATATGGACATTGGATTTTGGACAACCTTGAATTTAACAGGGGTGACTGCATCAATCTGATGTGTTTTCAGTGATGAACTATTTTGGGATTATCTTCATTTGTACCTAAGTGCAAACACATTTATATTGATAGTCATTCAAAGAAAACTCAGGAGTTATAAGGGAGAAGAACATCAGTACTCACAACACTAGAAATATTGACATCTTTTGTCAAGAGTGTGACCCTTATTGTGTGTGGGTTCTGTCACATGCTGAGTGATAGCCATCCAAAATGCAAGATAATTTGATAGCACTATTGTCATTGATGTTAAAATCACCAACCATAAGAGCCAGATCTGAGCTGGAAGGGAGGAGGGAGGCGCTGGCTGATTCTCCTGTGTAGGCAGTTACAGCATGTTTGGATGCATTAGTTCCACGTGCAGTTTGGCCGCACGATTCCTCCTGCTGAGCTCTCAAGAGCTCGGGCTTCTTCTTGTTCCCTGTATGCGTTATTGATGAAGTCCAGATATCCTCCTGAGGATGGATGAGTGAGAGTCATACATTGATACATTGGCCCACTGCCACTTAACTTTCATTGGTGTCCTATCTGTGAAATGGCTGGGGTTATCAGACCTGTACAGTTCAGGTCACTGTAAAACGGGGCAAAGGTCACTTAACTTCCCTTGATGTCATTCCTTGAGTCCTCAGATGGTTTTTTTATGCTCAGAAGAAAGTTAAGACAGGATGTTTGGGGGAAGATTTTTCTCAGAGTCCTCACAGAGCTTGTTTAGTCAGAGGCCATATGCATGATGTTTAGGAGAGGGCATCAGTTCTGTGTTCAATATTTCAATTGTTTACCATCGCCATATTTCCTAAAATATTAAATAAAAAATATATTTTTATTTTAAACAGTATGAATAAACTTTTAGCAACTTTGCTAAAAAAAAGTATTATTAATAACCTAACTTATAGAGTTTTGAGAAGAAATAACATTTGCATGATTGCTTTCTCTTACAGGCGTCTATTCTTGGGATTCCCAGGGACCCCAGTCAGTAGTGCTTTTATGTAATTAAAAGTGATTTGACTTCAAAGCACCTGACATTTAAAGAAAAGAAGCTAGGTTCAATATGTTCTGAGGCTGATTGTGGTCTTATGGGGACATGTAGATGCCACAATAGGTGACACTAAATCGGTGACACTGGACATGGACTTTGTAAACAAAGTTTGAGGACTGAAACTGGACCCAGATGAAACCATGGTGTCCTATGATGTGACCTCTTGTTCACCCCCACCATGGAGGTAATAGAATCTGTAAGGAAACGACTACTACAAGACCACAACCTGGACAGCAGAACCAGCCTCAGCCCTGACCAGATCTGTAAATTATTCGACCACTGTCTAAACACCCCCTATTTCCAATACAATGGAGGATTCTACAGACAAAAGCATGGCTGTGCCATGGGCTCACCAGTGTCACCTATTGTGGCTAACATCTACATGGAAGAAGTGGAGGGAAAAGCCCTTGACTCCTTCAGAGGAACAGCACCGCGCCACTGGTACAGGTATGTGAATGACACTTTAAAATTAAAACCCAAGAAGTGCACGCTTTCACAGAACACATCAACTCCGAGGACAGTAACATCAAGTTCGCACGAGGAGATTGGAGCAAATTGGAGTGTACAGGAAACCCACACACACACATGATCAATACTTACTTTTTGATTCCCACCACGCACTGGAACACAAGCCAGGGGTCATCAGAACCCTGCACCGCAGAGTGGACAACATACCAACAAGTGCAAAAGCCGGAGAGAAGGAACAGAACCCCCTGAAAGGGGCACTTACAGCCTGTGGATACCCTAAATGGACCTTTGTGAAAACAGCCACAAAATCCAGGAAGAAGACCAAAACTACTGGGGATGAGGAGAAGAAGGTCAAACGCAACAACATTGTGATTCCATATGTGTCTGGAGTATCAGAGAAACCAGGGCTCGACAATAATGGTGGCCCGATGGCCCAGGGCCAGTAAAAAGTAATGTCAGGACAGTTTAACTACTCAACATCCTGCAGTTTGTTTTTCACCGTTGTCCAATCCAGAGTTGTACTAACGTGACGAGTGGTTGTTAAACCTCTGGGTCTGAAAATAGAATGATAATGCAGATAATGCAGCGTATGCTTTTGGGGGGGGGGGACCTTGTGATTGACAGGTCGCTACCATGGCGACCTGACTTGTATCCGCTGCTCTGTGTACATTTTTTTCTTAAGTGGCTGTCAGCAGGAGAGAGAGCTGGTCTTGTTTGTGTCTGTTAGTATTAGTGTTGTAGTTAAGACCGCCCAAACCGAGACCAAGTCAAGACCAATCCAGAGTTTATTGAGACCGAGCCAAGACCAAGACTTTTAGGCGCTGAGACCAAGTCGAGACAAAGACCTAGGGAGGGCGAGACCAAGTCAAGACCAAGACCAGTTCCCCACATTACATGACACACAATAAAATGTGGAACGAGATCTTAGGTACTTCTCAAATTGATCTGAAAGATCCACATTCCCATTAAAACATCCACATACAAACACTAAGAGATGAAATCAACATAAGCATTGCTATTGCCGGGAGGAGTGACAGTTAATGGTAACAACACATTTTAATTAGGGTTATTGGTTGCATTTGAAGCAATACATTTTACATCCAATCAGAGTTAGGATGTTAATAAATAAATCAGACGATGCAAAAGATATTTATTGATATTCCCAAAGGTATGGCCTTGACTGGTCTTGAAATAAAATCCTGAGTCCTCAATGACCGAGACAAGACCGAGTACAAATACGGTCAAGTCCGAGACAAGCCCAAGGCCATCAAAAAGTGGTTTTAAGACCGGTCTTGAGACCAAGACCAGTCTCAAGTAATACAACCCTACTACAACAGAAGGGCTAACTCCTCAGGTCAAGACTCAGCAGTTTATTTACATCTGAAGGATAAAGGACACCAGGTGCACATTTTAGACAGAGAAGATGGATGGTTTGAAAGAAGTATTAGGGAAGCCATTTACACACAGATTTAGAAGCAGTCACTGAACAGAGGAGAGGGTCTACACCTCCACTTATCCCCCACTTACAATGCTGTCCTTTCATCACTTCCCAGGAAACTGAACAAGCATTTCCTCTTGGCCTCAGGTGAAGATGCCAACGATGGTCGTTCAGACTTGGCTATAATGACCATGACGACTGCTGTTACCACAGCCAGGAGCACTAACGAACCAGCGGTATCGATGATCCTAGCTAACAATCCCACAGAGGTTGACTAACTGAGTTTCCCTACCAGTCAGTCAGAACTCAAGAAGTCTCTTGGATGAGGGACGAAACTTCTTCTAGTATCTTCAGCCAAGTCCAGTTGTCCTTGACCTCAACCTTCGTTGGATGGATGCCATTGTTTTTAAACATCTGCCTGTGTAAGAGGTTAATGTCAGTAAAGGGGACACTATGGGCAGTACAGGCTGATGAGAGCCAGGTGTGCAGTGACAGCGTGCCAGACCAGATACATAAGTTTACAAAGTCAGTTTTTCTATGGTTTAGGGAATGAAAAATTATTGTTGCTTTTCTTTTAAAACATTGGAATTTGTTTTATTCCATTTTACTCAGTTTCTTTTTGATTTAGCTGATTGATGAAGTTGAATAGACAATTTATAATCATGTATCATGTAATTCATCATTAAGCACCTAATTATTTTGTTCATCAGTACAGACACAGTGAGCTAAGTAAGTTGATACTTGAACAGAATACTTGATAAGGATTTCTGTTTCTGCTGTCATACAACTGTAAAACTTTAGACGTGAGCCCAGGATATTACTAGTTGCTTGTAGGTTATTGGTTTGGATTGAACAGAACGTTGACTGCAGTCATTATGAATGTGGTATTGTAGCATAACCTCAGTTTTGCAAGTTGTACTTGTCAAAATTTTAATTATGTACATAATAGAAATGTAATTTATTATAAATTAACTAAATGCAAACAGCAAAATTGTACTATGATATTAACTCAAATTACTTTTCTCTCAAACATTTTCTAAGTATATGTCTTCCCATGAATGTTTCTGTATCTTTACATTTTTAAATCTTGTTTTTTACTCTATAAAATAAAATTTGCAGATTTGAAATTAAACACCTGTCTGTTAATTTTTGTAGTTGCCAGTTGTATAGCTTCAATGAAAACAACCCCTGGCTGCCTAGGAAATCCATCCTAAAATATGTGAAATGTTCAGCACTAAAATATACAGGCTAAAACACTAGACACCTCTGGGATGGACAGTGTGGCTGAATTCAGTGGCTTTGATAGATCAACATATACAAAGAATTAATATTTCTACCTTTTTATTCTAAATAGTGTAAATGTGGACTTCAGGGAAACAGAGCTAACTATCATTAACTTTTATCAAGCTCAACAGATAAATGTGTATCTGGTTATGTGAACTCTATGCAGCAGGAACTGGAGCTGACAGGAGGGTCCATAAGGAGGAAGTGTTCACTAACCGTTAGCAAACACACTTAACTTTATGTAATCCAGACCACAGGAAATGGAAATCTCAATGGACGTGGTTCATAAATAATACAGTGGGGATTGCCATTTGTCAGTGAAACATGTATGTTTCTCTTGGTTCAAACAGCAGTTTTTTGTATTGGAAGCAGATTGTAATATATCAATGTGATGGCTACTTTGACTACTGGGGCAAAGGGACACAAGTCACTGTAACTTCTGGTGAGTAATAATCATGTTTTTTGAGTGAAGACAATTCAATATTTTTCTTGTTTTTTGTTAAATTTATGTTGGTTTATGGGGCAAATAACTAATTTAATCTACAGCAAAAGTACCAGGGTAAATGATAGGTGTACACTGTAGTTTTCTGAGTAACTGAGAACACTTTATTAAATGATACAAACTATTAAGTATTTTTGCACTGAAGTGCTGTTGAAACCTGTCACTGTGACTACTACTTTGACTACTGGGGAAAAGGAACAATGGTGACCGTCACAACAGGTAAATTATCTTCATATTGAAAATGTAGTAATTATACAGTTTAATATAGTATATTTAGACCTCAGTGGCATCAACGGCATCTTTAGGGTGATTGTTTTTGTATGTTGGATGTGTTGACATATTACACTGTGACGCTGCTTTTGATTACTGGGGAAAAGGCACAATGGTTACAGTTACATCAGGTAAGTCAATCCTCTTTTTTTACTCTAATGTATACCTTAAAAACAGTTTTAGTATTTTTAAGTAATGCAGTAGTGACACTATACAGTTCTTTAATTTCTAGGATACTGTATGTAAAATATCTTAATCTAAAATATGGTGATGAAAATCATGTTTGGCTCAATCTTCTGAAACTTTAACTGATGGTAGATTGTCATAAAATAAACTACCATGGAAAGCGTAGAGATCTTGGAACAGGTTTTTGTGTGCAGTGGTTAATAATTTGTTGAACTGTGACGACTACTTTGACTACTGGGGAAAAGGAACAATGGTGACTGTCACAACAGGTAAAAAAAGCTTATATTTGTCTTCATATTGAAAATGTAGTAATTACACAGTTTAATAAAGTACATTTAGACCTCAGTGGCATCAACAGCATCTTTAAGATGCTTGCTTTTGTATGTTGGATGTGTTGACACACTGTACTGTGACAATGCTTTTGATTACTGGGGAAAAGGCACAATAGTTACAGTTACTTCAGGTAAGTCAGCTGTTTTTTTACTGATGTATACTTTGATTTAAAGAAAGTTTTAGAATTAAGAAATGCAGTTGTGATGCCACACAATTCATTTATTTCTGGGATAATGTTTGTTAAATATGTTGTAATTGGTAGAATCTAAAATTTGCTGATGAAAATCCTATTTGGTTCCATCTACTGAATCCATGTGTGGAAAATGGCAAGTTAAAGATGTCAGAAGGTAGATTGTCATAAAATAATCGTCCATGGAAGTGTAGATATCTGGGAACAGGTTTTTGAATGCAGTGTTTAATAATTTGTTGAACTGTGACTACGCTTTTGACTACTGGGGAAAAGGCACTATGGTCACCGTCACCTCAGGTATGTTTAAATATTTCTGATTAGAGACGGTAATCCTAATTATATTACTAAAATATATATTATGATTTTCTGTGGTCACAGCCAACAGTATTTTGTAGCCTGACAAAGACTTTGTGAAAAGTTTAAAATTCCTGGCTGTTTAGTTCAGTTGGAACGTAAGTCTATCGTCAAAGTATTTTATTTATATTTTTATTATTTTACTTTGATTTGACCTGTTGCTGAAACCAAACTGTGTGGCATGAAGTAATGGGATATTACAGTTATAAGTTTTTGTGAGAAGTGTGAATTGACTCTCTTAACTGTGGCAACTGGGGTGCTTTTGACTACTGGGGAAAAGGCACTATGGTAACAGTGTCATCAGGTAAGATTTACCATTTCAAATCTACAGCAGGGTATGTTTCAGACTGAAATGTCATGTTTAAGTTATTCTGTAACTTCTCAGTGTGTCAAGTGTCACTAAAGTGTGTATGCGTATGTACTGTAAAACTTCAAACAGTGATATTCTCAGTAGGACACACTGGTGAATATTAATGGCTAGTTTATTTTAAGTGGATTCATTTAATTAATTTTAAGTGGATTTTTTTTATCATAGTAGGCTTTATTAAAAGCTGAGGTAGAAGCTCATTGTTGCACTCAACATTAGTAGACGTAGTCTTTTCATACTAACAGCTAAGTAGATTCAGCACTGTGCTACTATGTTTATGCTTTTGACTACTGGGGAAAAGGCACTATGGTAACAGTGTCATCAGGTAAGATTTACCATTTCAAATCTACAGCAGGGTATGTTTCAGACTGAAATGTCATGTTTAAGTTATTCTGTAACTTCTCAGTGTGTCAAGTGTCACTAAAGTGTGTATGCGTATGTACTGTAAAACTTCAAACAGCGATATTCTCAGTAGGACACACTGGTGAATATTAATGGCTAGTTTATTTTAAGTGGATTCATTTAATTAAATTTAAGTGGATTTTTTAACATAGTAGGCTTTATTAAAAGCTGAGGTAGACGCTCATTGTTGCACTCAACATTAGTAGACGTAGTCTTTTCATAATAACAGCTAAGTAGATTCAGCACTGTGCTACTATGATGCTTTTGACTACTGGGGAAAGGGTACAACTGTAACTGTTTCATCAGGTAAGAATACTCTTTAAGAGACTCAGTTACTGGATGTTTACTGACTTTAACCTCCATTGCTTGAATTAAAAAATACTAATCATTGTTGTGGTTTAAAGTAATTGAAGTATTTATACATAAAATAACATAAAGCTACCACAAAAAAAAAACATTATTGAGGGAGGTTAACCTTAGGGCAACAAATCTAAATAAATGAGACAGAGAAACATAAACGTCTGTGTATGGAGGGCATTTGATATTTACACATTCAGCAGATTAATGCCTTCCATGCTGTGCTTTGTTACACTGTTGATCAACTTACCTGACTTGCTGAAAAATGTCTGTTATATTAAATTTTATTTTGGTTTTTGCATGTTTGTTTTTCCTCTGTTAGCCAATCCAACTGCACCAACTCTGTTTCCCCTGATGCAATGTGGTTCTGGGACTGGAGACTTGGTCACTCTCGGCTGCCTTGCCACCGGCTTCACACCCTCCTCACTGACCTACACATGGAGCAAAAATGGGGCTGCCTTGACGGACTTCATTCAGTATCCTCCAGTACAGAAAGGGAACGTTTATACGGGAGTCAGTCAAATCCGAGTGAGGAGACAGGACTGGGACGCAAAGCAGACTTTCAAATGTGCCGTGACACATCCAGCAGGAAATGCAGAGGCTACTGTCCTCCCACCATCACCACCACCACGTAAGACTCATGCTTAGTCAAATAAAATGCATTTTTAGTAGCTAATTTAACATCTAACAGGTTTCCATGGTGGAACTGTTGACATATTTTATTATGGTGAAACAATTTTAAATCAAATCTGTTAATTACACAAAATAGGACAAGTAGTTTGGCAATAATAACTGATAAATATTTCCCACAATTTGATGTAGAATACAGTATGAGACAGAATACCCTTAGTCATAGAAAGCTTTACATTTTACAGTGCAATAAATTATGTACTACAAGGCTACTTCTAGTCAGTACTTATGAAATGTATAAGATATTAACTTCGTTTCAAGATCATGCTTATGTCAAATAACAAAATAATGTAGTAAAGTACTTGTTGATGTAATCATTTAATGATAATTATATTTATATAGCGCAATACATGCAATAATAATAAGTCATAAATATGTGTTATTGTTGTAATATCTTTACACTAAAAGTGAATCTCTCTTACTTGGTTTTGGGGTTTTCCTGTTAAATGTTTATTAGAGGCAGACGTTACAACATCTTTGTACATTTATCCTGAGCTGCTGATGTTGACACATGTAAAGTAAATGTGAAAGAGAGCAGTAATTTGTTTCACCGTTTTAGAAACAAAATACTCCAATCTGTCATTAAGTAATATAAACACAGCGGACAGCATAAAAATAAAATACAACCAATTTAACATTTACATCCTTAAATATGTTTAATTAGTAGGTCCAGCTGTCAAACCAGACAGTGAGGTGGAACGAAAAGGCTAAAGCTTTGTTGTGTATATTCAGCTGCTGACTCTGAGTCTGATTTGTTCTTTACTATTATGCTGTATGTCCTCTGCACCTCTATAAGAACAGATTATTGCAATGTGTTCTGCTTCTTTCCCTCTGTCTGCATAATTATGCAGATAGATGGAAACTGTGTGTTGATCATTAACATTCACGTTAAGTCTGTGTTTGCTTGCCCGACCAGTCAATGTATATGCAGAAGTGATAAAACCTCTGCTGTTCACTTGTTTTACTTTGACATTTTTATTTTCCTTTTGACTCTTTATGCACACTTTAGTAACAAACAGTAAGTGTTAATTTAAAGAGCGTAATCATGTGTGCATATGTGTGTGCAAGTTGCATAACATACAGTAGAAGAGAAAAGTCAGTTAAGTTAATAGTAAATCTAGATTACATGAACATTGGAGCACTTTGGTCAACTCTTCTTCTGCATATATATATTATTCCCTGCTTCTGCATACATATATTTGTGTATATCTTTGTTTTTCAGCGGTGATTTGTAAATTGCCAACTCTAGTGTTGGCCTCCTCTGAGAAGGAAAACGAGGTTACCTTCTCCTGCTTGGCCAAAGATTTTTCACCAAATGATTATGAGTTCAAATGGCTGAAAAATGAAGAGGATATCCCCAACAAAATATACGAGATCAAAACATCTTCTTGTGATGGAAAGGAAGTGACCGGAACTAGGGTGTACAGTGCAGCAAGTTTTCTTGCAGTACCACCCAGTGAGTGGACTGAGGACAGTAAATTCACATGTGTGTTTGAGGGGAAATGTGAAGGTCAAATAACATTTGTGAATTCATCTGTGACCAAAGATACAACTCGTGAGTAAATTTTCTTTTAAAAATTATATGTAGTTCTATTCTCAAACTTTTGCAGCCCTTTCTGCTTAATAATTGTTAATTAATTCCTCACTCAGCACCTGAACAATGCGAAGGTCAAGTGGATATAAAGATCACTGGCCCCAAATTGGAAGACATCTTTTCAAATAGAAAAGGAACTTTAGAATGTCATGTCACGGCAAACAAGCCATCTGTCGAAAAGATATTCTGGGAGGACCACAACGGAAAGGAAATGGCTGATGCCTCAATGACCCCCCCTAAAGGAAGTGTAGGCCCATTCACCCTGCCACTTGAAATCTCTTATGATGAATGGAGCAAGGGGGTGAAACGCGTCTGCATTGTTGAACACACAGAGGTGATTGACCCAGTAAAGCAACTCTATCAAAGGAGAAATGGTAAGAAAACTATTCAGCAATTGTGCACTACATCAAACAGGTTAAGAGTGTTATTTCTAAGTGTGTTGTTTTGTGTATTGGTACTGTGTGTTTTGTAGCAGAGGTTTCCTTCAGTACTGCAGGTTCTTTTATCTGTGGCAGGAGGCCTAATTGTTCTCTCGTGCTTGCAGGAGGACAGACTCAGCGTCCTTCAGTGTTCATGCTGCCTCCAGTAGAACATACTAGAAAAGAAATGGTGACCCTGACTTGCTATGTGAAAGACTTCTATCCTCAAGAGGTTTTGGTGTCTTGGCTTGTTGATGACGAGGAAGCAGACTCAAAGTACAAGTTCTATACCACAAACCCTGTAGAAAACAATGGATCTTATTCTGCTTATGGCCAGTTATCACTCAGCCTTGAGCAGTGGAAAAAGAATGACGTGGTGTATAGCTGTGTAGTTTACCACGAGTCTCTGGTTAACACAACTAAAGCTATTGTCAGGTCCATCGGGCAGAGAACATTTGAAAAAACCAACCTGGTCAACCTCAACATGAACATCCCTGAAACGTGCAAGGCCTAGTAGATGTTGTTTTGTGTCGTTGTGTCTTCTGTTGTTTGTTGTTTAATGTTTGTTGCTTGTGATATGACATTTTGTTTGTCTTCTTAATGCAAAATAAAAAATAAAAAAATGCCCTTTGCAACTCTGTTGATGTATGTCGCATTTCATGTCTTTATTGGAGCAATGTTTTGAGCTACATGTTTATTGTAAGTGTAATGTCACACCTAATGCAGCACAGGTTAGATCCAGCACAGTGACATTAATAATATATCAAACCTTCAGCATCATATTGTATTCACTAGAATAACGCTGCCACCACTACACTAAACTGAGGCAAAAATAAAATGTGTTCATTTTTATTTGTAGTGCATTAACACTGTTTGTGTGTCTTTGTGTATGTGTTGTCCTCTACTGGGTCTTGCACCCTCAATACAAGACAGATGATTGTTTAAGGTTGAACTCCAGCTCTGCAGTCTCTCAGTCAAATGATGAAAAAACTGATTCACACGCCAAGTCAGGCATGCCACACCAATAATGGGGCCTTTCAAAAGCAAGTCAGGATCAATCTAGGACCACTTTAATCAGCACTTGCAAAACTGTTAGTGCCTTGTGGTAACAATGTTATAAGTAACAAGACATGTCACTAAGACATAATGCCTTTTTTAATTTATGGTTATCTATTTCATACATGGATTGACTGACTAACTGATTGATTTACTGATTAAATCCACAGACCTGTGAGGTTTTAAAATATATTAACCTGCTATAGGAAATCAAAGAATTTGGTCATTAATAGAATTTGGTCTCATCACAGTTAGCCAGGAGTGGATTTTCCCAAGTCCAGGACATCCGGAGTTCATGATTAAAATGGACTACCAGTGGAACAGTACCATCGAGGCAGAAGATGACATGGGGAGAATAGCCCTCACCTTCATCCTTCTCTTCATCATCACTCTGATGTTCACCATTGCAACCACTGCTTTCAAGGTAATACTGAGTTTACATGTCAGAGTGGAGCACATATTAACCAGAAAAACACAACTGAGTAAACAGTTTTATGTATTCAAACAACACAGATGGGTTGACAAAAATCTAACATGAGGAGCGGAGTAACAATAGATTCATACAGGGCATAGCTGTGACACATGATAATAACCATCATAATGTAATCACATCATAACTACCTCAGAAAATTACATCTTGTTGTCTGCTGATGTATTTACCGCTCTGACCAACAACCAAAATGATCCCACAGCGCCACTATCTCCATCAAAAGATTAAATTCTAAAAGTGATTGCAGCAAAAGATCAACCATCAGTGATGTATGGGTGTCCGGGGGGTTGGACACAAAAACAACAACCGTTGTGCAATTCAATGCTTTTAAACATTAAACTCTTTTGAGTTCTGTGTTTTCACATTTTTCCTTCAGTGATTATTTCAGAGCTATTATAGTTAATCAAATTTTATTCTGCAGGTGTTTCTGTTATCGTGTGTTCAATACAAATCCAAAACAAAGTTAATTAAACTGAATGAATTTATTTAAGTAGTACAGTAAACTACAACAGAAGCCAGGTGTGACATTCTCGTTGTGCCATATGTTGATACATTTATTTTGCAAATCATAACAAAATGCATGCACGGTTCAATGCCTAACTTGACAAATATGTAATAACAGTAAAGTTGATGTCTTTAAAAGAGAAAACTCACAACACCTTTGAAATCCAAAAGAAATATTTAGGTTCCAGTGGTAAATCTTTTTCTTAAACTGTGAATAACTTCCTTACAAACATTCATGTGTGTATTATGATGTTTTATAATGCGTCAATGTTTTAACTATATTGTGCATACAATGGTCTTATAGTGCATCTGTAATTTCACCACACATGTAAGTGGTGACAAATAGCAGGAATTTGATCATGTTGGAGCAACATTACTAATCTGTATTTGTTTTCTTCTGTTTTTTCAGGTTAAATGAAACAAGGAGAACTTTCTGTACAAAACTGTTTTTCACACATTTTTCTTATAAACTCATAGTTTGATGTAAGTAATCACAGCTGTCCTTTTTCCATTCTTATTACAAGAGCTTTATGTAATTTTGAAAATAAATGTTTAAATGAACATAACCATTAATGTTGCTCCTCCATCTTTGTTCTCTCATCCATTGTTCTGAAACTGTTCATACTGTCTATAGTTTCACCTATAAATGTTTGATACATAATGCTCATAAGAATAGCATTTCTCATTTTTATTTTAACTATGTAATATGTTGTTGTGTTCATCACCTCCCCAGCACCTGGAATCAACAGCCCGTGTTCTACTCAATATGTAAATGTGGAGATTTTACAATTGGTTAGTTCTGAGTCTATTATTAATAGACTCAGAACTAAAACCTTTAGCAAAGTCATGAGAAGCCATGTAAAATAGTTGTGATAACACATGTAAACTGATCTGAGATATTTAAATGTGCACTCTGTTTCTCTTACTGGCATAAGCGCACCTCACACCTGGTGTCTGCAATGCACCGTTGCTCTTGGCTCTGTTTCACTTCTGTATTTTGGTACTTTTTTGGATCTGGGTGTTACTCAATGCTTCCGCTTGCTGCTAGCTGTGATCACTCTGCCCTGTCATTCTGCGGCATCTGTGCAACAGACTTCCAGCCCCATCGCCTCCATCTCCACCTGACTTTATAACACCAGACACTGTAAAAGTACAACTCTGCCATCTAGCCTAAATACAAAGACATTACACTTAGAATTGTTTACAAAATCTGAAGGTATGTATAGGTGAAGAGATAAAATCAGCTCAAATTTTCAAAATATTCCATGTTCAGCATTTAGAATGAGGCAAGTAACGTAAAAATAATCTCTTCTCCGTCTCAGGACTGCGGGTTGTCTCTCCAAACATCACATTACACCCTGTGTGGGAAGGTGTAATCGGGGCCTCACCTGTCAGACTCCTCTGCACCCTAAGTGGCTTCTTTCCAGACCAACTGAGTGTGACGTGGCAACGGGACAACCAATCTCTAAACATTGAGCAAATCGAAAGGAAGCTGCAGAGTGTGAAGGGAGTGGAGAAAACCATCAGTCTAAGCAGTGAGATTGAGCCAAATATGAAACAGTGGGCAGGTGGCTCAAGTTTTACATGCATGTCCACTCATATCAATAGTGAATTTCGAAAAACAATAAGTATTTGTCAAAGTAAGTATATATGGCTAATGTCTCAACACACAATATGAAAATTTTTGATACACCATAAATCTTTTTGATACAAAAATGCATGTTGTGATTAAAAAAGTAATTGTATTAGATTTACATGTATGGACAAACATGTTTTTTTCTGCAGCACAGACAAGCGCCCCTCCTTCCGTTCATGTGGAGATTCCCAGCTTCAAGACAGTAATGGAGTCAACGTCTGATTTGAAGGCAACGTGTTCAGTCCGCACAGTGTTTGAAGCAATGGTGACCTGGCTGATGGATGGGCAACCCCCATCCAGTCACCAAGTGAACCAGGTCACAAATACAACTCATTTAATAAGCACTCTGACGGTTTCCTCGAGTCGGTGGAAACAACTGAAGCTTCTGAAATGTAAAGTTGAACATCGCTGCTTCTCATCCACTGAGGAGACAATAAATGTTGCAGGTCAGAGGAGAAGACAAAATAAAAATCAGGTGTGTTGTGACAGCAAAGTACCTAAAATAATTCTTCCTTGTTTTCTTTCTGTATCATCCAGCGCCTGCAGTTACAGCTCCATCAGTGGAGATCAGGAGATCTCTCCCAGATTTGCTGAAGGGAAACAGTGCTGTGCTGGAGTGTGACGTCACACAACTCTCCTCCAGTGACCTCTACATCACCTTTCAGGCCAACAGTGTTGACATCTCTGACAAACAGTATGTTGATCTTCCTGAAGCCCCAGGCCTCCATTCAGTCAGTAGACGCTTCACTGTCCCTCCAAACTACTGGAAGAGAGACACAAGTTTCACCTGCAAAGTGAATCAAGGTTTCTCCAGCAGCTTCAAGTCAAACCCCACTGGCAATATTTTTGGTGAGAGGAGTTTCTCTTTCTGTTCTTTGAACAATGAACTGATAATGTGATCGATCGATTCATTGATTTATTCATTTGCTCACATAATGTTTAGTGGACCCATCAGTGGAGCTCCTTCAGGTCCCCAGTAAAGAGTCAGGACCACAGAGGATCTTGTGCTCTGGATGGGGCTTCAACCCTCAAATGAAATGGTTTCCTGAGTCTCAGCAAGCATCTACATCAACGAATGACATCAGCATGAGTGCAGATGGACGTGTGGCAGTAACCAGTCAACTTCACATCCCTCAGACAGAGTGGAAAACAGGGAAGGTCTTCACTTGTTTAGTGTCTGACAAGTCTCTGAGTAAAACAGTTGAAAAGAACATCAGCATCTGTTCAGGTAAAATTAAAACATAAGGACAGTACCAACAATAACCTGCAGACTAATGAGAATAATATGGCCATCCAACAAGGTTTTCACTTTTAATTTAAAGCAGAATCAGCTGATTGAAGCTGCGCTGTTCAATATATTTATTATAATGATTAATCAAATGACTGTGTAATGTGAAAGGTGTCGAACCCACAGAGAGTTATCACCCAACTCTGCTGCTATACAGGTCTATGGAGCCTTTTAGCTTCTTTTCTATCAACGGCTTTGTTTTCTGCAGCTCTGCTCTTCTCAACAGCCAACTGTTTTTAGGGGAAAACTCTGATAAACCCACCAAACACTACCTACCCGGCACCAAACTACAGACAAACAAACTTTGTGACAGGTGAACACAGTAGAGCCTTTACTTCAACACCAATATATTTACCTCACAACTTGTAGAGACCAAAACAGATCTAAAAGGAGAGTAAAATAATATAGTATATGGTCTTCACTTGTGAAGTGTCTGACAGATCTCTGAACAAGACTGTCAGGAGGGAAATTAACCTCTGCTCAGCTAAAATGAAAACATAAGGAGAGCAACAATTACATCCAAATAACTAATGAGAATTATACAACCATTACGCCACTTTTTTTATTTGAATATAAAGCTGATCTAATCAATTTATGTTAACTAGGAGGCAGAAGAATAATCCAAAGAAGCTGGTAGATGCTCATCCACCACCTTCTATCTGCTTACAGCATTGTTAGGCTGACATGCAAACAATGGCCTGCTGTAGTATTGAGCTGAAACAGAGCCACATTAACATTATTTAGAATTGTGTTTCTGGCCACCTGGTGGATGTAAATCCAATATTCACTGGTCTTCGCACAACTCTTCATAAGAATCACACTTATCTGATTCTTTTGCTAGATGTTCTACTGTTCCTCTGCCACTCAGTAACATATTAATATCTGCCATTTAGTGCTGGACAGGCAACATACACCATGTTTGGTCAGAGATGATGAGACTCAACCACTAAATGTGCAGGATGCTAAATCTGCAGTAACAAGTTAAAAAAAGCTGAAACTTTCTGTAGAGAAGCAGAATGATACTTCTCAGTGTTTTTGTTTTCATAAGAGTTTCCTTTCATATTACATAGTAATTTGATTTAATATAAAAAATGAAAATATTAAAGAATGCAGTTTTAAAGCATAATATCATCATGGTCTTATAATCTGGAAGACAATATTTTTCCAATAAGTATTTCACTCAGGATTTGATTTTGCTTCATGACTCTTTTTACTTGTATTTTGGACTCTCAGCTCATTCAAGCGCCCCTCCTTCAGTTCATGTGGAGGTTCCCAGCTTCAAGACAGTAATGGAGTCAACGTCTGATTTGAAGGCAACGTGTTCAGTCCGCACAGTGTTTGATGCCAACGTGACCTGGCTGATGGATGGGCAACCCCCATCCAGTCACCAAGTGAAGGTCACAAATACAACTCATTTAATAAGCACTCTGACGGTTTCCTCGAGTCGGTGGAAACAACTGAAGCTTCTGAAATGTAAAGCTGAACATCGCTGCTTCTCATCCACTGAGGAGACAATAAATGTTGCAGGTCAGAGGAGAAGACAAAATAAAAATCAGGTGTGTTGTGACAGCAAAGTACCTAAAATAATTCTTCCTTGTTTTCTTTCTGTATCATCCAGCGCCTGCAGTTACAGCTCCATCAGTGGAGATCAGGAGATCTCTCCCAGATTTGCTGAAGGGAAACAGTGCTGTGCTGGAGTGTGACGTCACACAACTCTCCTCCAGTGACCTCTACATCACCTTTCAGGCCAACAGTGTTGACATCTCTGACAAACAGTATGTTGATCTTCCTGAAGCCCCAGGCCTCCATTCAGTCAGTAGACGCTTCACTGTCCCTCCAAACTACTGGAAGAGAGACACAAGTTTCACCTGCAAAGTGAATCAAGGTTTCTCCAGCAACTTCAAGTCAAACCCCACTGGCAATATTTTTGGTGAGAGGAGTTTCTCTTTCTGTTCTTTGAACAATGAACTGATAATGTGATCGATCGATTCATTGATTTATTCATTTGCTCACATAATGTTTAGTGGACCCATCAGTGGAGCTCCTTCAGGTCCCCAATAAAGAGTCAGGACCACAGAGGATCTTGTGCTCTGGATGGGGCTTCAACCCTCAAATTAAATGGTTTCCTGAGTCTCAGCAAGCATCTCCATCAACGAATGACATCAGAATGAGTGCAGATGGACGTGTGGCAGTAACCAGTCAACTTCACATCCCTCAGACAGAGTGGAAAACAGGGAAGGTCTTCACTTGTTTAGTGTCTGACAAGTCTCTGAGTAAAACAGTTGAAAAGAACATCAGCATCTGTTCAGGTAAAAAGGAAACGGTAATTGTGTTAATGCTTTATGTGTAGAATAAATACATTCACACAGTTTCTGAATTTGTCAAGCTTTTATCTCATAATCATGATTTGATAGGTGCTGCATTTTCTCCCCATTCTATGTTTTCAGTAACTCCAGCATCATCTCAGATAGTTGCCGTATATGTTCAGGGACCACCCCTCCAGGAGCTTCAGAGCAAGGGACAGGTGACTGTCATCTGTCTTCTGGTTGGCCCTTCTCTTGATGATTTCTCCATCACCTGGAAAGTAGGTGGGAACAAATATTCTCTTAATGTCCACACGGAGCAACCAGTGAGTCACAGCAATGGGACGGAGTCTTTGCGGAGCTTCCTCAAAGTGTCAGCGGAGGATTGGCATGCATATAAACAAGTGTCTTGTGAGGGGAAGCACCGATGTTCCAACCAGGGCTACCAGGACCATATAAGCAAAAGCAGAGGTAGTGTGAAACATCAGAAGCTCAGCAGTAAAAAGAAAAATCTCCATAATGCTTGTGCTGGTTGTGACTAAATCATGAATTGAAAGGAGCCGTAATATAAACCCTTATTTACTTTTGTCTTCTTTTTGTTTTTCTCAAGACCTGTACCCACCAACAGTGAAAATATTACAACCAACTGCCTCTGAGCTGTCTACCTCAGATGTGCTCACACTTATTTGTCTAGTTTCTGGATTTTTCCCGTCTAACATCATGGTGTACTGGGAGGAGAATGGCCAGAGACTCCTTTCAGCTCGCTACACCAACAGTCCTGCCTGGAAATACACAGAGAGCAGCGCTTATTCAATGAGCAGCAGACTAAACACATCCAAAACTGAGGACAAGGAGTCTACATATTCTTGTGTTGTCAGGCATGAGTCCTCTGAAACGCCGTTTGAAAGCACTATAAAGGATGTTTTTGGTGAGCTGAGAATTAACACTTAGTAACAATGAGGTTCACTGGTGTTTATTGCATCATAGTTAAGATGTCCCGAGCCAATCCTGTGAAGGACAAATTATTTTGTTGCACTGATGAGTGTTGGCTAAATTTGCTAAGCTCCAACTGTAACGGCTCTATTATCTCTCTTTCTCATCAGCAAACATCAGCAAAACAGGAAGCAGGTTTTCATGTTTAGCTGGCACTGTTTAGTCGCTGTCTGTACTCAGTCGAAGATTTGTCTTCTCTGTAAGAGATCGCTTCACGTCAATATCAGGAGTTCCAATCTTCCATTTAAACTAATAATTTAAGCTTTGAAGCAGTGACTTTAGTATTTGGATCAAGTAGTTCATGAAAAAAGAAACAATTTAGAAGGCTACAGTTGTTATTTCAATATATCAGATAAATATTTAATCAACATTAAAGTAAAGAGAAGTATTGGAGCAGACCTGCTACCTTTGTTCTCACTTAACTAAACTGAGTTCAACATTTTTAATGATTTTTCTTGCTACATGACCTTCCTCAGTACAAATTCATGACGAACTTTAATAACTCTTTTCCCCAGCCACAGTGACCTACAGCCAACCTTCTGCTACCTTGCTCCAGGGCTCTGGTGAACTTGTGTGCCTGGTCTTCGGCTTCAGCCCTGCATCTATTAGCATCACTTGGTTTTCTGGTAACACCAAGGAACTGTTGGACTACAACACTAGTGAACCCATCAGAGGCCCAAATGGAAAGTTCAGCATCCAAAGCCACCTTCGTCTGTCCCATGGCAACTGGTTCCCTGGGGCAGTCCTCACCTGCAGGGTGACACATGAGAACACCACCCAATCCCTGAATATATCTAAACCAGGTGCCGGTTCCTCTGTTCATCCACATCTTTCTTGCATGTTAAAGACTGCACATACTAGGTTAACCACACATTTTAACACATTTGTGAGACTGTTTGGTAACTTCATGGGTTATTTTCTTAATATTTCTTTGCAGTTCCTATTCCACTTTAACAAAGTCAGTGCAATAGTTAACTGACAAATCTCATTTAAATTCTTTCACAGGCACGTTGGAGGGCTGTCATTTCTTAGATGAGATTATGCATGCTGATGTGAACCAAGACACAGATGTGGAAAGCTGGTATATGACTTTCACTTTCCTCTTTTTATTCCTCATCTCTGTCATCTATGGTGTCTTGGCTACTGTGATTAAGGTAAGTAATCCTCCAGTACAATATTTCAACTGTATGACTTTAATATGTCAGTTTGATTGTAACTGTTTTTATGTTGATACAAAACAAATCTGTCACCAGATCCAATATATTCCATATGTTTTCTCCTTTTAGACTAAATGATGATGACCCCAGGACAGATTAATGATCCAAATGGGAACATTTGAGGATTTCTGATGGTCTTACTAGGTGTAAACTGTAATTAATGAATTTTTCTTTTTACATTTGTATAATATTTTAGAAATGATTCATACTGTATTAATTTCTTTTTATGTTTCAGTCACTTTGAGATTCAAATACAAGTGTAACAAATATTCTGTCACTGGACTCATTCATGCATTCAGCAAAATACAGATTTCAATTTGGAAAACAAAGATTGTCTCATTAATTACAATAAAACATATGATGGTACATACTGATGTAAAACTGACCTGTACGTATTTAAGGTTTAATGGACGGACTGGAGTGGGATGCTACTATCAGGGGGGAGAGTAAAATGTCGAACCTTGGTTTTCACAGCTTTCGATTTACACGTGGTAACTTACTTTAATTTAGTTACACATTCCGGTTTAATGAAGAGCATGGGTAGTAGTTAAAATGCCTGAAGAATCCCACAGATTGACCTGTACAGCCTCTTTGGATTCACATTCAGCAGTTTGTATATGAGGTGGATCAGACAGGCTCCTGGAAAACAACTGTGAGTTGCATTAATGAGCACGGCTAGTGGGTAACACCACCAATACCATCAAAATCATAAAAATGATTTCAGCTTGAATAATTGCATTAAAAACTGAATTTAAATTGCTCAACTTGAATTTGAATTTATTTAGTTTGAAACTGAATTCCAATAAACTTGAAACTGAATGTAATATGAATCTAAACTGAAACTGTATTTGAGCCTCATTAAAATTCAAGTCTTTGTGTGCTTTCACTTTCAGTTCTCTCAATTCAAATTCAGTTCTCTAAATTCAATTTCAATCCACAAGGAGGAAGAGCAATCGAGTGCAGATGCACAAAGCGCCTTTTTGGCCAATCAGCACGTTTGTTTTTGACCATTTCCTGTATTCCACACCAGCAGCCTGTTGCCCCGGCTGTGTGTAAGTTTGTTTTTTTGGCTGAGTGTAAGTTATCTCCTAAAGCCCACACTAAAGGTTAAGTAACTACTAGTTTGTCTGTAACTAAATCAGCTACTAATATGGGTTGCACCACAATTACTTGGGCAGACCTTCACTAGATTAACTTGGGCATAAAATCCTAACTATGGCAACTGGCCGTGTGCATTAGCTTTCTGGCTAGGTAGCCACTTGGCATCTTAGCACATCATAGTAAGCTGGATAGATATTGAAATATCATATCAATGAATTACTGCTGGATTAAGGTGTCGCTAAGCAGCATGCAGTTAATGAAATGTTATGCTGAGGGGCAGAAAAACAGCAGTTTTACCATCAGTGAGTATAATGCACCTACACCTACCCTATGGCCTGTGTACTGGCTCTTCTGCTCAGTTTCAACCCCAGTCCACAATCTCCTCCCAATCACTCATCAGAGTTGGCCAGCTCCACCCCCTCCCATCCTCTCTTCATCTCTGAGGGGGAAGTCAACAGACTGTTCAGGAGGCAGAAACCCTGCAAAGCAGCTGGGCCGGACTCTGTCTCCCCATCCACCCTGAAGCATGCTGATGCTGATCAGCTGTCTCCGGTGTTCACAGACATTTTTAACACCTCACTGGAGACATGCCATGTGCCAGCCTGCTTCAAAGCCTCCACCATCATCCCTGTCCCTAAAAAACCAAGGACCATGGGACTAAACGACTACAGACCCGTCGCCCTGACCTCTATGGTTATGAAGTCTTTTGAATGCCTTGTGTTGTCCCACCTTAAATCACAGACCCATCCCTGGACCCCCTGCAGTTCGCCTACAGAGCCAACAGGTCTGTAGATGATGCAGTAAACATGGCCCTTCACTACATCCTCCAGCACCTGGACTCCCCAGGAACCTACGCCAGGATCCTGTTTGTGGATTTCAGCTCTGCTTTCAACACCATCATCTCGGCCCTGCTGCAGGACAAGCTCTCTCAGATGAACATGCCTGACTCCACCTGCAGGTGGATCACTTACTTCCTGACGGACAGGAAGCAGCACGTGAAGCTGGGAAAACATGACCATCAGCACCGGATCCCCTCAAGGCTGCGTTCTTTCCCCATGCTCTTCTCCCAGTATACCAACAGCTGCACCTCCAGTCACCATTCTGTCAAGGTCCTGAAGTTTACGGACGACACCAATGAGGGTTCATTGGGCTCATCTCTGGTGGGGATGATGGGCAGAGGATGTACTTCCTGCGGTCTATCAGGACCAAAACCTCTCGCCACATAAAAAGCTTATTCCCATCTATATATATATATATTATATATTATTGAAATGCATCTGCACAACACAAACCCAGAATAACGCACATGTTCTGCAAATAGTTGTATTATTTTTCTCTATACTTTTTAATATTCTTATATAACCTACATTGTCTATTCTATAGTTGTATGTTTCTACATTTATTTATGTCAACTGTATGTTTGTCTACATGTAGCACCTTATCACCAAAACAAATTCCTCGTATGTGTTAAACACTACTTGGAGATAAAGCTCCTTCTGATTCTGATGTTAACTCTTATTTTTTGTGTAAGTTAGAGTTATGTTGTAAATTCTCTCCATGGTGCAACTGTTTTTATTTCAGTAATGCTAATAATTAGTAATAATTTATACTTGGCTAATAACTAGGTTTGAACGCACAGCTGGTGTAACAGGCTGCTCTGTGTCTGGTAATTACTGAAGTTACTAACCATTTCACAAAGAGGACCAGTAACATAACAAACCAGGATTCACTTCAATACTTAAATTAATCGAAACAAAAGCGAAAATTGCGTCGGGGGTCAACAGCTCACAGTCACAAACAGAGCAACGTTGGCTTCAGTGTAGAGACCTGCATTGGGATCGGGACAACACAAATCGTGCGGGAGCGGGCGGTATTAACTCTGCTGGGGGGCGGGAGTGGGCGTTCAGAAAATATACTGCGGGTCCCGGGATATAGCTAGCTAAGAAGATGGGGCCAACAAACCAAGTTGAAAAGATGATTAAAGCGGGCTTATATAAAACAGTAACAAAGCAAGGTCTGACATTTGGACAAACTTCTCTATTGTTACTGACAACAATGAAAAAGAACTGGACTTAAGCTGCCACAAATGTGCAAAGTGTTAATATACAACGGGCACAAATCTCGCACCTCCAGGTTGCAGTGACACACCTGCTCCATTCTTCTGGGCCAAAGTAAGCTCTCATTCAAAGAGAAAGCACTTCTCCCTGTTCATGTTAAACAAGATACTACTGAGAAATGTGTCACACTTTGCTGTAGAGACTGTAGAGCCATATGACTTTGTTGCTGGAAAAAGTTTTTGTTGACATAGCTCAACACAACATAATTGATGTAAAAGATGCTCTGCCTCACCCAACAACTATCCAGACATGTCGAGGAGAAAGCAAAGGCACTGCAGGCATCTGTGGCCATAGAGATAAAGCCCATCATTGAAAGGTATGGATGTGCCATCACAACAGATATATGGACGGAGGATTACCATAAAATGGCATTCATATCCAGCACCATCCATTACACAAACAATGAGTTTTATCACGTTTCGAGGGTGTTGTTTGCAGCTCCCTTTGAAGGTGGTGTGTCAAAAACAGGAGAGAACATCAGGAACCTGCTGTTCCGGAAACTCAGTGGGTTTGGAATAGACACTTGACTAGTTGGCCGTGTTGTGTTTGTCACTGACCGCGGAGCCAACATAGTTGCTGCCATGTGTGGGTACACCAGGCTTAACTGCAATGCGCACATCCTGAACATCACCCTGTACAGCGCATCTGCCCCAGATGTGTTGGCAAAGACACCCGAACTGGCTGAACTGCTGACCAATGCCAAAAAATTGGTCAAATATTTCAAACATTCAGGTCTGCAGAACACCTCAAAGAAATCCCTCAAGCAATCCATCGAGACTCTATGGAATTCAAATTATGATATTCTGGATTCCATACTGCAACAGCACGAGGAGATCTCTACATTACTGGTAACCAATAACCAGTGTGAAAGAATTGCACAGATCAATGCAAACACTTTGAAAACAGTGGTTGCATTCCTCAAGGTATTCAAGGATGCTACTAATGACCTTGAGTCTGACAACTCCACTCCCAGCGCATCACTTGCCCTGCCGTGGTCCTTCAGGCTTACTGAATACTGCAAAGCAGCATCCCTCGATCCCTTGCTCTCCAATGTCACTGGTGTGTGCGCCTCACGTCTGGAAGAACTGATGGGTACTAGTGACACAAGAGCAAACCCCCTCCACATGATGTACAGGATTGAAACGCTCCTGAATCCAAAAGTGAGATTGCTACGGATGCTGAGCCCTAAATAAACTTTATTTAGGCTACATAAAAAGTGTGAAGCTTTGCAAAGTGCTTCACAAACATAAAAACATAAAATGCACAGTGTAATTATATCTTACCAGCTCAATGTGGTCAAGAAATAGAAACAGATAAAAGACACTTAATACAAATCTTGATAAATGAATAATCATAAAACAAAAGAAAACTAATTAAATACAATCCAAAGGTGCAAAGGAAATGATCCACAAGATGTAGTTTGATCTGGTCCCAGCAGAGGATGAGCCACCACCAGGCAAAAATAAAAAGCTCCTCGGACGCACATTATTAGAGAGACGCACAAACCTGGGACCACAGTCAGTCAGTAACATTCTCTTCCTCCACAGTAATCTCAAGTAAGCCAAATGATTCAATGATTATGGTAGTTTAAAAAATTATTTCAGTTTTTAAAATGTATTATTATTTTGGTCATTCATATCACAATTTGTAAATAAATAGGTGTGGTGATTCCTGTGCTGCTGAGCCAAGACTACGTTTGAATGTTGTTTAAGAAAATAACCTGTGGTATCTATCTGGCTATCCACCTAATAATTCTTAGATGTTGTTTTATTTGTGATGTGCTGATGTTTTCTATTAAGAGATTTGTATTTATTTCCTTTTGTATTTGGCTATTACTTTGTCATCTGGAATTTTAGATGCCTTAATTTGAGTTTTAAAGTATAGTATTTTATTTAAATATTGTATCATTAAATATTTTATGCCTTGTTTGCATTAGGCTACTATTTGTCAATTATAGGTGTAGGCTAAGTTATTGCGCATGTTATGAATAGCTTATAATGTTTTTTTTAGGCTCTGCTGCAGTGCAATGATGTCTTGTAGTCGGTTAAAAGCTGACAGTTGTGTTGGACTAATATAAATAGGTCCAAGTTATTTGTTGTGTGTGTGCCTGTGGTGCTTTACTTCAGTTTTACACGAGCATGTTATAGGCCTACGTTTA